CTCTTCCGACATTCTCCTTGTCCATGCCTAATTTCCTCAGAAGTGGGAAAAGGGTGTGTACAATTAGCATAACGCCGAAAAGCAGCGCGCTCTGAATGGAAAACTAAGACCAGAAGCTCCTTGAGTGAAGACTCATGGCAAGAGGCTTTAAAGGTGGGGACAAGACAGCGGAGGTCGCTGTCCGCGGAGGACAATTGGAACACGCTGTCCACGTTGGCAGCCAAGGGCTATCTGCAGAAAGAATTCGAGAAAACGGTTCGCGTGGGCAGTCAAGGGCTAACAGAAGGAAAGTCAAGTAATAGAGAACAATTATCTATGGAAGCCAAGTCTAAAGATAACTCAACGTAGTAATACGTGTTAATAAATTAGAGACAAGTATATTGCAAAGACCACTGACCAGCCTAAGACTACTGGATCCCAGTGAGTATAAGAATCATCCTGCACGCATTTGCTTTGCCGCGTGCCCTGGTGATCAACTAACCCCTGAATCAGAACAAGACTACCGCATCCCTGTGAATATAAGAGTCATCGTATACGCATTTGCTTTGCCGCGTGCCCTGGTGACCAACTCACCCCTGGATCAGAACAAAACTACGATATCGCTGTAAGTATACAAATTCACGTTATCTACTCAATTATTGCCAGCCTGCGGCAAAACCGGCACAACACAACCATTTACATTATCTCACACTCCCTGACAAGAAGTGTGCAGTAATTATCTGTCTTTTCAAACCTTTCGATTCAACATCAATTCAACAATTTCAAGAGCATCTTGTGTAGTGAAACCTCCTATATAAGAAGCCGTTCAAGAAATCGTATCTTTACATTAGATTTAAGAAGATTCTACAACAACCATATGTAAATAGTGTAATAAATTGTATAATAAATGTATAATTAACCAACTCTCACGACTCTTTTACAGCCCTACCACCTAACTCTTTCCTGAGCGTCTGCTAGGGCGGGCGGCAAATTAAGCTATTGAAGCATTGGCAGTTCAAGCCAAGAATGACATCACTATAAATTCGAACACATGTTCATTCTCCGAAATTTGTTGAACTTTACTTTAATTTTTATGAAGTTCAATATTTTGCAATACTATTTATACATTCGAAGTTATTTGTAATACGTTTGTATGTTTATAATTTATACAGATGCAGATTACTATTAAATAACAAGTACCTTTATATATTAAAAAATTCTGGTTATACTAATCCATGATTACTTATTTCTATAATATTTTATTAAAATCATGTATATAAATTAATCATATAAAAATATTTCAATACTTCAGATATAATTAAAAAGAGATATAAAATTTTACAAATTAAAATGTATTTGCATTTTTGTAATATTAAATATCAAAATACTATCTTACCTTATTGAACATATATATAAAGATGCGCGTTAATTCAGTGATGTTTTAATGTCTTCGTTGGTAAAAAATTATAATATAATCTGTGTGATTAATTTTCATGATAAAGTGTATATATAATCTAAAAATAAATCGATTAAATTATATGATAATGAAAATAAAATTATAAAATATACTAGCAATAAGATGCTTATCTAAATAGATAAATAAAGACAAGATTTTAAGGATTGGTACCATATAATTCATTTGAAATTCTATTTCTTCTGCAACAAATACATATTAAATTGCATTATAAAAAACTTGTAAAACATTGTATAAAATTTAATTAAAAGAATTAGTTGTATTATTTTATTAAATTCAAAATTCATATTTAATAATTAAAATAAAAAATTAACTACAAATATATAATATAAATTTAAAGATAAACAATAGTTGTTTTAATAAAGTACTTCAATTTCCTTGATACGCCTGATAAAGGTAATCTTTTACGAAGAAAACAATAGTGATTCATTCTATGAAAATAAGGAAACTTAAGACAACTATACAGTACGAATAAAAAAATATAAATATTATTTATGATTATTTGTACTCCAATATAAGAAATTAAATTTAATACTTATTATGATGCTGTTTCCAATATACTTAATTATTGCAGATAGTTTTTATATTATTATTAAATGTTACAACAATTATTTTTTAAACCCGTTATTAATAATTGTAGGTGATGATGAACAATCAGATTGGATCGGAGATTCAAATTGGTGGGATGATTCAGAAAATAAAAACGAAGAAAAGTTACCATTTAATACTGCATTTCAATCTTTAATACATTTAAATATTGAACATTTCAATGAAGAATCAAAAAGAAATTATAAACAAAAAATTCAATGTATTCGTGATGGTTTAAATGGTCGTGAAATTCTTGCTGGTCGTAGGCATGTTAATAATATCCCTGGATACTCTATTATTACATCAGTTAATGAAAAAATTTCTAGATTTTTACAAGATTCAAATCAAACTAAACTAAAATTATATCCAATGCGACAATTTGAACGTGAAAAATTACGTCGTCTAGCATATCTTTATAATTTGAATGTAAAAGGTGATTTAACATGTCCAGTTTTATGTAAAACTAAATATACTACTCAAACAATTTGTGTCGATACAGTATCGTTGAGAAAATTATCTGATCAAAAGAAATTGCAAAAACCTCTAAATTCAAAGAGAGCAATAGAAAATCTCGTGTATAATAATGCAAAAATAGATCAATTATCAAATACTAAATATTTTAAAAAATATAATACATTGGAAAATTGGGAAATAAATAAAATATTTACTGATTTACCAATTAAATTAAAAATACATAGTTTAAACCATTCAAAATCTAATTAATTTGTGAAGTTTAGTTTTCTAGTATTTGTAATTATTAGAATATTACAACGGTATATAATAAATAATATCAATTATAAATGTGAAAATAAGAAAAGATTGACAAGTGAAAATGAAATACCAAATAAACATTTACAAAAATATATTTGACGATTATATTACGGTAATGTTATTCATAATATAGAATTCATATTTATAAATTTGCATTATGGAATTTATAACAAAAACATTTATCAGATAAAATTTGATAAAATATTCTGAAATCATAAACAATATACTTGTATTGTTTGTTATTACCTATTACTTAAGGTTAATTTTATACTTAAATAAAAATATTTTATATTTTGTTGATTAGTAAAAATATAAATTCTCAATGCAATGAATGTAATTAAATAAGTGATAATTCATGAAATTGCAGTTTAAAGTGTATATTATAGATTAATAATACTCATCGTCTAAATTTTAAAAAGTATATATTTATATACTATAAGAACTGCGCATAAATATTTTTGATAACTATTCTTAAAATTTTATGTACTTGTATATTCATATAATTAACAGCCTTCTTTTTTTAAGCATATTGTTATTTTATTATTAATACTTATTGTAATATTTATTCAATTTAAAATTAAAACGTAAGCTTTTATTTTGGATGTCCTAAAGAAACAAGAGATGGAATCATAATCTCTTTTTCCACATTTTGTTTTAAAGGAAATTTCATAATTACATACATGTTTGAAAATTAGCTTTTGATCGGTTCGGAAATCAACATTTAGTTTGAAATTTAATAATAATTAACATGATTTACCCAAAATTAGTCCAGATAATAACGTATTATTGTGAATATTACAAATATAACGGTTATTTTATAATTTTAGCATCATTACCGTGTTAGAAATAAAAACCTTTCGTTTGATGTTATGAAACACGTATTTATACGTTTATTTTGAGAAATAAAATTTATTGTATTTAGTAAGTATAAAAAATCTATTTTCTATTGTAAAAAATAAAATATTTTAATTGAAACTAACAATATTATATAAGTAGATATATTAAAATATGTCAAAAATTTTGCTATAAATTGTAATTTATAATGCATATTTTATAACAGATATAACAAATACGTTATATATTTATAATATGTATACATGATTTCATATTTTGTATTAAATAGTTTTTGTTAATACATATAAAACATCTATGTCACAGTAAATTTAACTAAATTCACTTATTTTGATACTGATGCTGCTGGGTTCAAATTTTTATGGATAAAATAAGATGAGTGTAATCATAGGTGGGTTGCTTCTACTTAATTTTTTAAAAATGGATGTCAAAGAAAAATATTAAAAAAGCTTAAGCTTTTTAGCTAACTTTTCCTTTAGTAATCAAGTGAAAAGTAATAGAGCTTATGTACAAATAAGCTCAATTTAAATGATTTAACATTTATTAAAACTCAGATAAATGATTTCGAAACAAAACAAGCGAATTTAGTTAAATTCAAGATTGTACTAAATTAGGATTCAAGCAAAGATAAAATACAATATTAGTTATTTATAAATTTTCATAAACAAACGCTATTGATTGAAAAGAAAATATATATTGGCTGTTTTTTTACACATACCGATCATGCTACCCGGGAAAAACGTCACACGGACATCCTCCCACCACTAGCCAACTACAGCGCTCATCCTAGGCCAGCGGCTAAGACGGACCCAACTCGCTGCCCCTACCAGCGCGAGTCTCCTACTACTTCTACGAATTCATAAGGAGAAGGAGAATCAGGCTCCAGGCTATCAAGAATACACTTACAGAATTATCGTCACTAATATTAATTGAAGAAACTCTCATCCATTCATTTCGACATCCATAGATCACTGACTATTTATTATATTTATTATATTCAGTAAAGGGAAAGATACTACACTCTAAAGGCAGTATTGAATTATTGCATTGCCCCTTCCGCTTGCCAGCAAGCCTCCATCCACTATGCCAGCTATCAATATTATTCACACTTGACGTAAATCCTCGCCTATTTCTCGTGACCGCACCCCGGCCTACGTCTATCATATTTATTATAGATTTATTATATTATATAGAGCCGGGTTTTATTTAGATATTATAGAGCCCGACCTAATGCTCGTTATCAGGGCGAGACCTTACCGATCATGCTATCCGGGAAAAACGTTTCTTGATCATTCGCGGCCCACGTCTACCGTATCAGAAAAGCCTTCTGACTTGATTCCCTAGCAAACCGTAAGAGAGGGCACCGATCCTGACAGTAGACCCCTGCCTAAGTCTAAAATTAGTACTGCGAGACATTACCGGTCACACCACAACAAATTGGTTTTGATCAAACCACAAAAGAGGGCGACAAATATTCGTAATAATCCCCACGACCGCCACGAGCCGAATCTCGCTTGGTACGATTCGAGCGTCGCCGTAAACGTCAAAGCTCCGCGAGCCAACTAATGCCCAATATAATTCAAGCGCGACTCACACGACACATGACTGTAAAATAAAACCCGGAATTTACCTTACAAAGCTTGCACTCCCAGACGATGTTTCGACTTAATAATCAGCTGCCTAGTCACTACATTCAACAATTCTTTTACAACACAAAGAACACCTACAATACTGTAATAACTACTTAAATAAAGGTCACTAAAACCAATTGTATTTACTCTGAGTTGATGCATTAACCTCTCACCTATCCCCTCCCCCCATCACCATTAAACCGGCGGTACGGTCTAATCCATCCACCGTGATCTGCGATCATACTGGTGGCTGGAATTCCAAGCAGTTACTATTATCAATTTAATTAACTAATTAATAGTGAATCTTGTTACAGTCAAATGCACAAGTGATAATCAATATGAAAATGAATAAATCGAAGAACAAATCTTATCAATTTTAAAGTAATAACGTAATAAAAGTTACTTAATCCCAATGAATCACTGATGTTAACGGTTTGATGGTAAAATACCGTTCATTTTTTAACATTATATACATTACAAATTATTTATATATATGCATTAACATTAGGTATTTAATTATCTTTTCTCTTAGGATAAAACTTCTATTATATGTTAATTAGGTTCAGAAGATTGATAATTTAAGTAGAGACAAACATTCAAACATTATATATCTCAAGTATTTGGTACCAATGGAATATCCATCGAGTAAATAATATAAATGAAAAGGTAGTATCAAATATTTATTGCTGAGTAATCTAATCTAATCTATCTTACTCAAATAAAAACATTGGTCAATGTACGATTTGATTGCTTTATTATTTTATAAACAAATTAATTATTTGTGCTCTATGAAATTAAAACAAATTGTAATACAAAAGTATTAATTAATATAAGAAAAATTCTAAAATTACCACTGATTTGCAAATGTAGTATTAATACAATTTATTATTTTAAATCATTCGTTAGAAATATTACTTTTTATTGTTTTATGTTGACTAAACGAGATTATAATTATTTTTTGTGCATATTAATATTATAAAAATTTATTATTACTTTTTAATTTTTGTTAGTGTACAACACAAAAAACTAACTATCCCATTCGTAACAATCGAATAGCGATTACACATTATTTTTATTTCAAAATATATGAAAGTAACAATTTAAAATTTTTTCATTTCCTATTCAGCACATTGACACATTCCAAAATCTATTTACATTCTTCATTTACAAAATTCCTTATTATACAGTAATATTCAATGACAATATTTTATCAATAGTAATGTTGGAAAAGAAATAATGATATTTATTAATAAAAATTATTATAATTTTTAATTTTGCTTTTCATTTCATTTCATTTCAAAGAAAACATTTAGTTAACTATACAATTAAAAATAAAATATAAAATTGTAAAATATCAAATAAATACTAATTTATTTTTTAATTAATATAAAAATTTAAACAGAACTTACTATCCACTGGAAATAATATTTTTCTCGTTATCAGATTCATCTGTTTCTTCAGATTGTTTAATATTAAAACTATCAATAAGTATATCAGTACATTCATTATTAACAGTTTGAAAATCTAATTTTTTTTCAAATTTTTCTTTTAAATTTTTATTTGATTCCGAAAATTTTTTAATCATTTTGTTTCCAAATAAAGTATTTTCATTTTCACAATTTACTTTAATTACATTTTTAGATTCTGTAATTGAATCTGTACTTTGACTACTAATCGAAGAATTTGAAGAATAAGATCTTGAGTGAGATCTAGAATGAGATTTTGATCTCAATATTGTTCTTTGTTTAGATTTTGGTCTCGATGATCGAGCCCTTAATTTTCTTTTTGATGATTTGGTCCTCGACTTTGACCTTGATAATCTAGTCCTTGATTTGGACATCAATTTTGACCATGATTTTATAGTAGATTTTGTTATAGATATAAACTCAGATGTGGATCTTGATCGTGGTCTTAATTGTTTTATACAGTCGTAGACCTTTTCTAACTGTTTCGATGATGACCACGATCTTAACGGAAAACATGATTTTGAATACAATTTTGATGTAGAACTTGCATTTAAAGAAAGAGATCTAGATCTATATCTAGATACATATTTTGATGAAGATCTTGATCTTAATTCCACTGTATGTGAAGTATTTGATAGATGTAAACAATTTAAATCTAGTCTTTTTATTTCTGAACAATTTTTATTAGATTCGGATTTATACAACCCAAATTTTAATTTTAAATCATCATTTTTGTTGCTATTTGAATCAGGATGAAGGATTTGAGTATTTACTTTTTCGTAACAAGATGTAGAAATATCTTCATTATTTACATTTTCAATTGGATCAAATATTGCAGTTTCTACTTTAGATACAGATTTCGAACAGATTTTACCGGTCATGCCACAATAAAGTGGTTTTGATCAAACCATAATAGAGGGCGACAACTATTCGTAATAATCGCCACCACCGCCACGAGCCGAATATCACTCAGTCTAGTCCAACGTCGAGTCAAATGCCTAATCAGTCGCGAGCTGAATCTCGCTTGGTACGATTCGAGCGTCGCCGTAAGCGTCAAAGCTCTGCGAGCCGACTAATGCCTAATATAATTCAAGCGTGACTCAAACGACAGATGACTATCGAATAAAAAAGACTCCGTTGATTTATAAACTAGAACCCGGAATTATTACTCCCGAGATACCTTACGAAGCTTGCACTCCCAGACGATGTTTCGATTTAATAATCAGCTGCCTAGTCACTACAATCAACAATTCTCACCATAATTAAGAACACCCAGACCACTGTAACAACTACTTAAATAAAGGTTACTAAAATCAATTGTATTTACTCTGAGTTGATGCATTAACCTCCCCCCCCCCATCGCCATAAAACCAGTGGTACGGTCTAATCCACACACCGTGATCTGCGATCATACTGGTGGCTGGAATTCCAACCAGATAATATAATTTTTCCTTTAAATATTAATTTTTTTAATAAATATAATACAATTATATCTTACATTTAAAAAAGTATCCATATTTATTAATTTACTAAGAATTAAAATGATATATAATTATGTTTATGATTACTTTCGAAAAATACAAGCTGAATCTCTAAGATGAAGAATAATATATAGAACTTGATATTGAGATTTTTGTAAAGACAATGTGATATAAAAAATGAATACTGGTTATAGATATATATTTATATAATAGATAATAGAAATATGTTAAAAGATGAGATTTCTAGAAATCGATAGCATATTCAAATTTTAATGACGTGAACAAAGAGTAGCGAATTGATAAATGGAGATTTTTAATGGGCGTAAAGAAACAAACTATTTTAAATTATATTATTTCATAAATATTGAATACCTAATGTTATTGTCAATATATAGTTCTTTGTTTATTGAGTCTATTTACCCATTTTTTGTAAATATTTTATGAAATATAAATCAATCACTTACATAAAATATTATGTATTAATAAATGATAGTGTGACCTCTCGCGAGTGTTATACATCCCCAGATGTATAACAAACCAAAACTCTAACGGTCATTGGACATCTGGAAAAAGTTGTTACATCCGAGAAAGAGGCACAATCGCCTCTATTATTTTCAGTATTAACTAGCATTTTAAAGCAAACACGTGTCAAGACGCGCTATTCAGCTATGAACTAGTCACTCAGGAACTACTCGCTGTCTCTTGGTTGGGACGCCATCGAAGGAACACGGTCTGTCCTAGCAGGACTGCCATGGAACAGTCGCTCTCTCTCAGTGAAGCCATTATAGAAAGAACACATGTCACTCCCAGTGCGCATCAGTTAACAAGCAGTCAAGGGTGCTGACTGCATTACAAGAAGTATGGTATCGAAGCGCTTGACATCACGAATGTACACCAGTTGACTCTATTGAGGGTAACTTTTACATGACTAAGCCATACTCCCTTTAATTGAGTATGCACAACTCTTTACAACATTAGCAAAGGCCTCAATTACATAAATAATCTATACTTCTTTCTAAAGAGTGTGCATAATATATTGCTGATCGTTCAGCAATAACTTTGACACCATCAACAAGGAGCAACTACATCTTTGTGATTGAACATAGTTCACACTCTCCTGAGAAATGAATTCAATTCATATTCAATCAATAGTATAATTGTCAATAAGCCATAATAAACAATATTAACGAAGTCTGCACACACTGTATATCTCTACAGCCCTTCCACTTAAGTCTTTACCTAAGCATCCGCTAAGGCGGGTGACAAATTAAATTGAACTATCGAACATTGGCGGTTTGAGCCAGAAAATCAAATACTTTCGAACACATAGTATGGATTAAACGGCATAACTCGCTTGATAAGGATACATATAAAGAATGTAATATTGAAACAAGTAAGCGACGTAGCTCTTATGGATAGACGAATATTACATGAGTATATAAATACTAATTATTTTTATTTTTTATTATGACGACATTGACTGCGAAATAAATGCTATATGGATAAATTTATATGTAATACACGTGAAACGAAAAACAGCTGAAGCATAATATTATATAACCTTTACCCGATTATATATTAATGTACATATGAACTGCAATCTCTATTCTGATACTGTTTAGTAAATTTTTATTAATCTACGATTTGAATATTATAATGAAGTTATCAATAAGGTCGCATTAATACTTTCAGTATAAATAACAATATTTTTCTTTATCAGTGTAATCACTAGTAGATTTATATTGAATTCTTCCATGAGCCTTAATATTCTTACCCTTCTATTAAATAACTTAATTTTTGTATAAATTACAAATATTTATGACCCTTCTAATGTACAACTATATATTTGAATTAATTTCTGAAACATGTAATTATTTTGAAGTATTATTATATGTAAATATTATAATATCCAATAAGATATAATAATAAGATATAAATTTAATTACAGTAGTACTTGATATTTCCAAAAATAGTGTAAGACTTGGATTCCTAACTTTAAGCTTTAGTTTTAAATGAAAGAAAATATTGCCAGGTATGTAACTGTATAAATAATTATTGTACGCTAAACAAGTATATATATTTATATAATTTATAATAAAATTTAGAACAATTAAAATTGAATGAATTATATTCAAAACAAACCTATATGAATGCATTGTAACAAAATAAATATAAAATTTATAAAATTTTTTAAATAACTAAGATTCGGATATTTTCCCATATGAAATTATAACAAATTAATTTAGATACATTTATATTTATTAACAGTAAATATAAGAAAGTACTAATCTTATTTTAAAAAGAAAGTTTTTTTTTAATCTATCAAGTATTTTGAGCACTTCAATCGAATAAATAAAATAAAATAAATTTTTATTAACACTTTTAGAATTTAATTTCATTTACATTAATTGAACATTTGTATTACTTGTCAGCACTTGAAGAAGATCTATAGATTCATGTACCTGCCGTTTTTCCGCAAGAAATTTACTTAAACTTTCTTTAAGTTGTTCAAAAAATATCCTGGAACAGAAAATCATAACGTATTTTTTTTAAATATTGCGTTTATATATTAAGATAACTTTAAATAAATATTAAGAAATAAGTCATATATTTAAATACTAGTCTTTATTAACTATACATTTTTTTTGTTATAGAATAACTTTCAACAGAGTTTATTTTTTATATTTACGTAAATTATATACTTGAAAGGAAATTTAATTGAAATAAAATATTTTTATACAGTTAAATACTATAGTATTATCCTTAAATATATATCTAAAATAAAAAAAATATAAGAATGATTCGTGCAAAAATATCAATAGGTTTTACACCGATCTGTAAAAAATCTGTACAAAAATTTAATTTCATCATTTAGTTTTATTTTCACTGTCAATTTATGTAACAGTTTCATTTGAAATACATATCAGATTATTGGGTTGTACTATTTATATATATACACATACAATATATGAAATATTTTAAAATCTACTACATGGAAACAAAGTAGCGCCAGTGTTTAACAATGATTTTTTCCAATTCTTATAATTAATTGAGGTGATTTTTAACTTAAAATATTTGATTATTGTTTAAAACTACATTTTACATCATAAAGCTGATATTAGCCTGCTATAATAATAATTGAATTTACAAGGACTTCAAGCATAGAAAATATAAATTGTATTTCTGCTTATTTTAATAAGAATTTAAAACTATTACAGCAAATAACTAATTCTAATAAAATGTTATTTTCATATTACAAATATTTTAGCACTTTCTTAAAATTTCCTACACACAATAAACACAATACTTCACAATAATGAATTTAATTTATTGTTACTGTTTGTCATTGCAAAGATGTTGATATACTATATAAATGATATAAAAACTTTTAACAAGTTTACTTTTAACCAAATCTGTATATTTTTGTTAAATGTAAATGAGATTTTCAAAAGTATAAATTTAAAATCGTGTTTGTAGTAAAGAAACTTTTTGAGAATTTATCTTTAGAAAAATATATTATACTTGAAAATTTTTTTAATAACAATCAGATTGATTGTTAAAGTATTTTGAAATTAGTAAAATAATTCTAGACATATTTTTTGTTTTGTTAACTAACTAACAGTTATAAGTGTGAACCTCATTAATATAAAATATTATATAGTATGAATTTCACAATTGATTGCATTTTTATTTTTGTCCGCTTATATAACTGAAATAAAAAATGATTTATGCTTTGTTGTAAAAAATATACGTTAAATAAATAAAAAAGGTACTTGGAAAAACAAATAATAAAATTGCGAATATCTGTATAGAATTAAATGTCTATAAAATTTAATTTTATAGTTAATAAGTTAATATTTACCCATTTGAAATAACATCCACAAAATTATCTAAATTTATATCACTAAGTTTTTCAACATCAGCTCCAGTCAATAAAGATATACGAGATGGCTCAGCTTTTAGAGAACATATTAATGATTTGATTTTAAGATATTGATATTGTGCATCATTAAGACTTTTTTTGCTATCAGTATCATCAACAGTAAAAAAGTCACATTTTGATGTTTTTGTTTCTGTTACAATCCACTTCTGATTTCCATAAAGAATCATAAGATTCGTATTTGTTTTGAAAGTAGCAAAATATTCTTCATCATCAATTTCTGTTCCTAACATGAAAATTATTTTAACATTTTATTATATAATAATAAAATTATCATATACAAAATTAAGTTTTGTATTCTCAATTATTACAGATCCACAGTACAATTCTAAAAACATAATCCATTGATCTTCCTGTAGAAATATTTTTCAATTATGAGATAAAAGTAATTGTTTAATTACTTAAAAATTAAACAATTCAAAAAACATACTTTTAAAATAACTTGATGTTGTAATATTTCAAGACATAATTATAATTTTTCTTTTACCCAACGAAGGACCGGAAATAATCTCCTGATATGAAAACTTAAATAATAATTTAGTTAATAATTCATTATACGTCTTCGTAAACCCGCTTTTATTAAATTAACTACGTTAAGGTTATTTGGAGCTGCGAGCATCACTTTAGGATTAAGCAATGATAGCTGATCATCTCAAAATCATTTTGTGATTATCAACTATGAATCTTATTATTTCAATATTTATATTTTTTATTATTTAAATAGTTTAATCTGTTCTTAATAATAATTTTCAAAACTAATTTTTCATATTCTACATCGATATATGGATGTATATAAAGTATGTGTGCTTTTTACATAAAACATAACATTTCACTTTAGGAGTTAAAAATAATAGAATTTCAATATAATAAGATATATATATAAATTATAATTATTTAGTTTGAGAAACAAAACATGTAATATTAAAGCATATAGTGTTTATCTATTTCTAACATAAGTAGATATGAAAAAATAAATACCAATTGTGAGTTAAAAATAAAAAATTTTAGATATAACTAAAACAATAATAGCTAAAAAGTTAAAAACTAAGAGAGAATCTCGATATATATCATAAGATTATACGTAGTAGTAACAAAAATTGCATTACTGATAAATATTAAATGTATTTTATTCATTATAGATATCAAATCGTTTTTACTTCAGTAAATTATTTTATTAGTTAATAGCATATTTGTAATTAGCTTATTCTATAAGGTTAAATTTGAACCCGATCTTTAATATAATGTTTAAATATATTAATGAAAACTTCTATTTATATACATGGTTTTCTTTAGACTTTTTTCTATAGACAGTATTACATTTCGAGTTTTACAAAAATATTTTATGACCATCATTCAATAAAACTTGTGCACTTCCTTTGTTTAATTAAGATTTCTTGAATTTCTAGAATATAAAAATTTTTCATATTCAAAAATAATTCTGTACGAATCCTAAATTAATAATTAAGTTCATGCCTTTAGTTATTATACTAAAATTTGGGAAAATATTGGATTTTAAATAAAAACACATGCTGAAACCAGAGGATGTATTTTTACAAATGAAATATATAATTACTGATGTACACAATTACAACATGTATCTTACCATCTTGTTCCAAAACAATAGTTATATTGGTTTTTGTTGGAATATTATATAGCATTCGAGCAATTTTTATTAATTCTCCAAGAGAAGAAGCTGTAATACTTTTTCTATATCTTCTTGTATGATCAATAATTTTATATATTTTATTCGATTTACTTGCTTGTTTTCGTTTATCCGACATTTTTATGCAATTTCAACTGAAATATAAAATGTAAATTTACAATTGATATTTTTATAAAATTTTGATATAATATTGGCTAGCACTTAAATTTAAATGAATTATGTTGGATTTGTTTTTACCTTGGTTAATTATTAATTTGTATTTTCATTCTGAACACTGTGTTTTACATGCATTATTTGTAATAAGTAAAAGATCAAAAAACAAAAAACGTTAAGAAAAGCAACGTTGTAATTTTAACATTAATAAGTGCGAACAGAAGTAAAAATAATTTTTAAGGGTTTCATATTCAGATACGTGAAACAATTAATATTATTTTTCGATATTTACAAAGATTCCAATTCTAAAATATAAAGAAGTACACTTAAGTGTTGGCATTGTGACAATGGTGAGGTTTAAATAGACATATATATATATATACAACTAATATGTAAGAAAGTTTATATTTTTAATTCCTTCATTCTCTGACATCTATTTAAAGGTAATTTTGAAAATAGTACGAATGTTTAACATTAATATTATTTACTTTTATCTAAGTGGAAATATAGGAGTTTGAACACATATGGTGTGCAATGTTACATTATTAATATATATAAAGGGAAATTAAAGCTGAAATATAAGGGATATTTAGTCTTTGATACATCAATGAGAAAATGTATGTAAAACCTTGAAAAAAAAGAATTAAAGGCTATTTTTATCACACAATTTATAACTTTAAAAAATATAATGATGACAAATTGAATTAAGGAAACAGATTAACGATATTTTATTTTCACTTGTATAAAAAAAATTATTGTAGCTAAAGGATAAATATAAATGTTATAATTGAATTGTTTACACTAATCAATTCATAAAATTGATATTGAAATTATTGCGTATATAACCATAAATCCATATAAATGTTGGGTATATCATATTTCTTATCATATAGTCCACAAGTGAACATTTCATACATTATATATAAATATAAACCAAGATCAAATATTAATGAATTAAATACAATTTTAATTCGTTCCAGATAGTTTCTACTATATTCATTTTGTTGGAGCATATGAGATATTTTAAAATATTTAAGTCAAACATTGAATGATATTATAAACTAATTAACTGCAATAACCGTGAACTTCGTTTTCGTTATAGTGTTGTAGAAAGAGATTTAAACATTTTTATCAATTCTGTATACTGCATAACAAATTTGGATTTTGTTCAATATCATACACTTAATAATTTATTAAAAAGTAAGTGTTATACTTACATTGTAATTCAGTTGTTCTATAAGATTTACAAAAAGTAGTTAAAATATAATATATGAAATGAAGTTCTATGAGTCATCACTTTTTAAATTATTTAGATTATAGGAATATTTATATAAAAAATAGACTGCAGTGATAAAGAAATAAAGCTGCAAATAAAGTATAATTAAAAGAATAAGTCATTATTTTGTTTCTTAATTTCAAGGCAATGATAAAAAATATATATTCTATAATGGAATCTATATTAAAAAATAAATTATATTTTTAAATTATAATTTAATTAACATACTTTTTTAAAATAAATTTAAATATACTTGTAGTGTATGGATATATTGAAAAATTTAATAAATTGCATTATTGAAATTATTTTTTTCGAAATTAAATTCTCTCCAAATTTACTTTAATAAAGATGATAAAATCTATACTTACACATTGTAATATGTTCATGTAAATGAGTTTATGAAATAATTTGGTAAAAAATTCAACAAATTTAATATTAGTAGTAGTCCTAATAAATATTTCTATTAGGATTAAAAATTTTGCATCAAGAAGTAATAGATATTAATAATTGATTAGAAGTTGATTTCTTTCCATTAAATATTTATACGAATACATTTTAATAAATATAAAAATATAAATTTTAGTTATTCTGTATAATTAAACATCTTTTAAAAGCAAGATGAAACTGAGTATTTTTTAAAATAATTCTTCCTACCTTTTAGTTAAAGAAAATAGTCTTTACATTATCATTATGTATATAAAAGTTATATAATTTTTTAATACTATTTTATTATTACTAATTATAATTAAATTATCAAATTATTAAATTTTAATTTACATTTTACATTTTACATTAATATTTTAATTATTTGCACTTTTTCTAAAAAATAATTTCAGCATAATAATATGATGGTAAAATATTTCAAATTTTAACAAATTATTTAAGACTATACTCCAAAATAAAATTTAATTTAATACGTTCATAAATTATACGTTTATAGAACCGCAAATTTATGATTGAGACTAATTCCATAATAAACAAATTTCGAATAACATAAAACAAAAAATACATGTGAAATATCTGCAATGCGACATTCAGCTATATAATTTTGTTAATTGCATTTCTTTTCCTATTCTTACAACATTAAATATGGGTTCTTATACCATCTTATGTTCACTTATTTAAAATATTCATATCTTAATTTCTATTTAATATATTGAGATTTTATTTAAAAGAAATTGCACTTGACATTGCTTCAATTGTATTATTTTTTAGATTTTATTAATTATTTAGTATGACGATAAACATACTTTTATATGGCTTACAGAGAACATTTTTATATAAAGCCCGCGAAATTTAATAGTTGTACTATTGCATATACTTAAAATAAAGGCTTTATTAAGTATTCAATATTCTGTATTTTTATTAAAACTATTATTTACTGTTTTTTAAAAATAGTAATATAATAAACATAAGGTCTTATATTTAAAATATTAAATTAAAAATATAAAAATATACACGTATTTATTTTAAAGAACATAATTAACGAAACAAATAAAAATAAAAAAAATAACCAAACTAATATTATTTTACAATTTATTTACTACACCCTTACATACAAAACAAATATTTTAAAACTGTAATATTAATTAAAACTAAAAAAATATTTTGTAATTCTTTAATTCGTGTATTAAAAATTTAAATATCTTGATAATATATTCAATAATATAATGTGTAAATATTTAATTATTTTTATTAATAACTGTTAAAATTGTGAATAGCTAAATAAATTAACTAAAAAAATTGTTTAGGTAGAAATTAATTTATAAAATAAAGATTTGACTTAAAATATTGTATTTTTTTAACTTAAACATAATTTAAATTTTTATTATGTGTTGTAATTTGATTATTATATATTTAATTGTAAAAATATTTTTTTACAAATATAAATCGTGATTAAAATAAATAAGTTACTATTTACAAGAGTTAATTAGAGTTAATTTCGTATTTTATTGTCCGAAATAGGATAAATTAAAATGATCATGATGATATTTTTATATACCTCGAAAGTTCAATATCCATATTTGAATTTTGTTTGAATTTTTAAAATCCTTAGTTGTTCGGATTGGAGCATACTTTTTTTTAGGCCTTCGGTTATCGGAAATTTTATAAGCTTTCTAGACCTCGAATTTTTGTAAACAGTTAACACGCAGAATTCTTGAAGGTAGCTTAAAGCTTAGATCCTTGAATTTTCCAAGGCTTTCACAGAATTCTCGACCAGCCCAAGCTCAGATTCTCGAACGTTCTGCAAGGCTGCTAGTCTCCATATGCCCGCACCTAAGCATTGCTACCAGCTTATTGTAGTTGCCGTTTTGATATTTAAGGAAGCGCGCATCAAAACTCGTCGTAGTTATCACTCAGTAGTTATTCATTACACAGTGTCAGTTATTCCTCCAAATCAGTATTCATCCTAATCAATCATTTATGCCCTAGTCACGCTATTAATTTGGAGTATACAACAGAGAGAAAGTCACACATTCCACGCTTTCTCAGTACAGCCATTCCAAAAAACACGTGTTCAATTCTCCAGTGCGAAACAGTTAACAACCAGTTAAGGGCTGATTGCAATACAAGGAAATAACGGGTCCTCCTTCACACGACAGTATACCAGCAGTCTTTATTGAGAATAACTACCACCGATATAGTCCCATACTCCCATTATGAGTATAATCGGTTCTTCTTGCTAATCTTTAGAACGTTAGCATAGACCTCAAATCAATCCATATTGCCCTTTAAAGAATATACAAAATCCATTGCTGATCTCCATAACGTCATCGATGATATCGTCACCATTACCAAGGAGAAACTACATCATTGTGTAGAACATAATTCACTCTCTACCATGAGAAGTGAATACAAAAAAACAATAGTGTAATTATCAACAAAACAAATAAACGATCTCCTAACGAAGTTTGTGCACACTGTACATATTTACAGCTCTTCAACCTATGTCTTTTCCTAAGCACAGCTAAGGCGAGCGACAAATAAACTGAACTATTCAACTTGGCAGTTCGAGCCAGAAAATTAAATACATTTTCAAACATTCGATCCTTCGAACCGCATAAAATATACAAACTTTCGAACATTAGTCATTGGAAAACCTATAATTATTACATTTTAATTAAGAACATACGAAATCTTCCATTATTAATAACAAGGCTAAGATATACAATTTATTTTATAAAAAAATCAAAATTATTATAAAAATTATTTAAATTTCTATCATATTTTTAACATACATATGAAATTGGACATACTATATTGTATTTCGAATAAAAGTGTTATGAAAATTTTATTTAACGTTAACATTTAAAAATAAAAACAATAACAATAAATTTTTTAATTTATTATTTTACTTTTCGAATTTTTTTCAATTATCTAATTTCAATTGCATCTGTGATTAAACATGAGACTTAATTATTAATCAGTATTTTATCTGATGTTTACGTAATTTCGTGGAATTACTTCAGTCATAAAATCACGTGTTAATAAAAGTTACTATATATTTTTGTCGATTGATTGATGATAGAATAGTTTACATTCGTTATAATTTTCATAACTTAAAATTATTAATAAAAATATTATTGGAAAAATTTTTGCTATTATAAATTAATTATATAAATGTAAAATAAAGATATAAAGCTGAAACTAGTAAAGAACAAAATATTTTATTTGATTGAATTTTCCATGCAATACAGTAACATCTTGATTAATAAATTCGAAAAAAATAATGCATATAGATAAATCTGTCACTATATAAAATAATAATTATTTATACAACAACAAATAAACCGGAAATGGAATTTTAAGCAATTTGTACATAACTTTTTTTATTAATTTTAACTACTTATTAAATAAATATGAAGATAAAAAATATCTTTTAAAGCGGTTAATTAAATTATTGTTTCTGTCAGTTTTTATAATATATTTTTTAACTTTTCATTAATTACATACTTTAATATTTAAAATTTGTGTATTATTAACGATAAATATAAATCTTGAAAAAAGAAAAGGATTTATATAATTGATATAATCGTTTTTTCATGCAAATTATTTACTTCAATTATATCTTCTTTAAAGTGTTACTGTCTGGGATCAGACTAAAAACCTCCCTTTGATGGTGGGTGGAGGTGTTGCTGGCAAGTGGAAGGGGCAATGTAATAATTCAATACTACATGTAATGGTACTTGTCTTACCTTTCTTAAATATAATAATATAATAAATAGTTAATGATCCTAAAGTGTATGAATGCAGGTGTGAGTGAATAATTTGGGGAAGTTTCTTCAATTGTGTTACTTGCTGAGGAGAGTGTGTATCCTCTCCGTGGTGTGAGGAGTTGATGTAGTCGTAGTATGCGTGAGAGCCGCCGCTGTCGTACCGAAGTCGTCTAAGGGGAATCGGGTCGCTGCTGCCTTAGTTGTCGGTTTAGTTAACGGATTCTGATAATGTGGCATCACTATTGGCTTGTTAGATTGCTTACTAGTTGAGTATTACGTACTTGTATCGCTACAGTGAGTGATGACTGTACAAAGAAGCTTGAATTGTGAGAGAGAGAAAGATTGAATAGTGCGCCCGTCGTAATGCCTGCGTGATTGTTACTAGACTCGACTGAAACAAGACTGAGCGCTGTGCGTGAAGCGCAGACCTTAAATATTATCGTGGTATTTTGTAGGTGCCGGTGGCGATCCGGTGTCTGTTGTTATGCCGATATTTATCGTTTCGACATCGTATATTCGAATCGAATTTCTCGAGTATATATAATTCTCGAGTTCGTAGGCTAGTGTTTATAAACAACTTTTCGCGCGCTCATACCTCTCCCACTTTTGTATTCCGCCTTTCAACTGTTTCAATCCGTAACATTTACAATTGATTGATTTTTCATTCTTTGCCTATATTGATATTTAAATAGAATAATTGCATTAAATTTCGGATATTGTTTAATATTCGAAATTATTCATGAATGAGATATTTTCGATTTCTTAACTAGTATAGTAATGTATCATGGTGAAATATTAATCACACATTTTCAATATCAAATTAATTATAGTCAAAGATGAATTAATATTTATTACAAAATAAAACTTGTCTATTTAATTTAACTTATTTATCAATAATTTATATTTCATTTAATTAAGAAGGGCATTATCGGAAAGTTGATAAAAAAATTAATAATGTATTTCGATTTTTTTTTAATTAATGTAATAACTTATATAAATTAGTATAATTTCCTCACACTTTGCATTTGGTTTAAGTTATATTGTATAAAGTAATCTATCTGTTTTAAACATTAGAACTTGTGATTTTATTATACTTAGTTACTCTGTAATAAGAGTTGTACAAAATGTAAATATGAATAAAGATTTTTGCATCTAAATTGAATCATTCTTAATTTTAAAAATTAATGTAAATAAATGTTATAACCTTTAGATCGGACCAATTACCATTTTGAATTATAAATTAAATTTTAATGATTTCTCTTTAAATATTATAATTTTTCTTCTTATCTACGTTCGTTTTAAATTAACATTTTTTTTAGCAGCTACAAACTCTGTTATAAAGCCTTTGATATACTGAATAAATATACAGAATTAACTTCAAGAATACAAATTTTTTATTAAAAAGCTTTGCTTAACTTGCAGAAATTATTTTGCAATGCAACTATGATTAATGCTTGATTATCCGGGTAATGCTCCAAACTATGAATAATTTCAGTGTAAATCAGTATTAACAGCTATAGACTATTCATCATACTAAAGTTCTATAAAACCAAATTCTGTAACTGTTCGGGATTGATGCAGTACCATAAATTTCGAACAAAAGAAAGGTCATACGCGCTGTCCCGCGTACAGCATGTGCGCCTAGACTGGCACGCACGTGCGGACCGGGACGCGCACTCGAGCCAATGTTTACAAACAAAACTCGGCAAGTCCGAGCAAGTTTACGACCCGAAATATAATATACGATAAGATCACCCAAGGGTATTACTCCTACTTTTCTCTCGTCGAACATTCTCGAAGGTTCTAGATTTTTCCTTCGACGCCTCGTGTAAGAATTAGTGCAACAACGACGATGCATTGTTGCCAGCTAAGTGAGCCACCGCGTAGCTATATAAGAAACGCACGCGGCGCGCCTCGCTCTCTTGCTAATCATCTTTTGCCGAACCACCCTCGCTCAACTGCGCTTGCGCTTAAAAACTTGCCGTGACTCGACCGCAGTGACCGACCATAGTGAAGCGATTCAATCATCTACCAGTAGAAGCCATGGCACACGGGTCTCGATCTGCCCTCAGCAGGACCGCCATGGAACGGTCGGTATTTTCAGCAGAGCCGCCACGGAACGATCAAGCCTTCGGTTCGTGCGCGTATTCAAAACGCTCATTTGTAATATCACTTCGCGCTCACTCAAGTGTATCTGCCGCTCAGTGTATTTGCATACTGTGAAGACGACGCGTGGCCATATATTCGGCAGTATAGTTAAGAATACACGCGTGCATAAGAACAAGAAATCGGCAAATTAAATAGTGATTACGGTGAAGCCAATGGAATAGTGATCAAAGATGACATGAATTACGCAGCAGTAATATACCTTGCCTGCATTCTACAAAGTACATCTTTTTATATTAATAAATTAGTTAGTCACACCTCGCACACAACAAGTCGGGCAAACTTACACTCTTCCAAAGAACACTTCAGCCCATTCAGACTCGCTAGCAGAGAGAAGGCAAGATTAAGCTCATCTGAAGAACACTTCGGAACCAATCAGGCTCTCTAGCAGAAATAAGGCACGTCAGAGAGAGGACAAACGTACAAACATTTCGGACCATGCAGGCTCGCTAGCAGAGTGTACGCTCACGCTCTCCCTAAGAACACTTCGGAACCATTCAGGCTTTCTAGCAGAAATAAGGCACGCCAGAGAGAGAGAACAAACGTACTCTTACGAAGAACACTTCGGAACCATTCAGGACCTCTGGCAGAAATAGGGCATACTTACGCTCTCTCAAACTAACACTTCGGAACCGTACAGGCCATCAACAGCTGACGCAAGAGTCGCTATGCCTTAAGCACATTGTCACAAAGGACAAGAACAGATCGACTAACAGACTATAAATACAGATTATTAAATCCTTGAAGAGTAAGTAATCTTACCATTAATCACTCTTACCTGGGACTATTTTTTATTATTTATTGTTTTACTGTCCCCTTAAATACACCATATCAGCTATAGTTATTCATACATCAAGCATACTTGATTCGACTACCATCTTCTCATGCTACCTCACAAGCATGATTAATTGACTACACCAGCATTTCCACAACTTCAAGATATTCAGTGATATCCATGGAAGCTACAATAATCAAGAATACAAGAACACACCCTCATTACTTCAATAGAATTATCTCTCTCTACACAACAGTGCAATATTATAATCATTTACAAATAATAAACCTTGTTTTAATATTTTTCAGCCTTGTCAATTATTATTTCCTTTGAAGTTATCCTGCCGAAAGATTAATCCTCTGAACTATTGAATTGGTAGTTCGAGCCATAAACTAACCCTTTAAAATCGAACAGTAATACAAGAAAAATCTGGGAGTTCAAGTGATTACAAACTAAGTATTGACGGAAATTAAATGAAGGCGATGAGGTAATAAACCAGACTTTTCAGTAATACATGAGACAAATTGTAACGAGGCAGTTCATTTACAATAATATTTTAAACTTAAATTTTAATGTCGAAAACGTTATTTAAAATATTTTACCGCAACCCCTTTGATTTCATTTCATGAATTCATTTCATTTCATTTCATGTATAAAATATTACACTTTTGCAGTATTTTTCAAAGTTATTTTTAGCTATGTTTATATACATATTATTTTTTAAATAACTAATTAATTATCATATTTTTCTTCTCGTTTTCTCCTAAGACTGTAATATAATTTATTAATTCAAATATTAATGTATGCCAATTCAGTTTTTCATCATTTATCTAGTATGTTAATTGTAATCTAACTATAATGTACAGTATTTGATTTAAAAAAAATATAGAGTATAAAATAAATAAAAGTGATAAGAATTATATGGAACAAAATTTAATACCGTAATTTTTTATGAGTAAAGAATAAAATTTTTTAGTAATTAAGAATTCAGTAAACTTGTAAAAATTTTTAACAGAAAATTATAAAAAAAATTAAAATATTTATATTATAAAATCGAAAGTAATGAAGTCTTTTATTACAGATATTTCTTAATTTTCTATGTTGATACAAAAAATAAAATTAATTTTATTTACTATTTCCATTTGTTAATAATCAAATTATTGATTTTTAAATATGTGCAGAATAAATATCATTATTGTTTATTATGTAATTATGTAAAAAATTATGTAAAAAAATATATTGGAATAAATTTTTTATTTATAAATATAAATTTAAATCAGTCGTGTTAATTAAAAGCAATTAATTAATTACAGAATAAATATAAATAATTTTATCAAATAGTTAAGTTTTCCAAATAATTGAAAATTTGCGAATTTTAAGTTACAAAGACATTTTGCGTCCTTCAATTGATATATCAACTGCTCTACGTGCAGATCGTACTCTTTTGCTATCTATAAAATTCTTCATGTGACGTTCAAAACGATTCATTTGTTTTTTCGAAATCTAAAACAAAAAATGCCATATAATATATTATTCTTTATTATCTTGTAAATTATAATTTTTTCTATTTAATATTTTAATTAATAAATAATATTGTATAATTAATAGAAAATTGCCAATTGTTCGGAAAATAATCCCACAATTTGACTAGTCAGCCAAACGTGCAATAATTAACGTAGAACAATAAAACCCACTAGATGTTATGTGGGGTTGCCGGGAAAGTAAAGGGTGAATGCACTGATTAATAATTAACACATGTCTTTATTATTTCTATTTATTTGAATTGATTTACAAAAGGGTGAATTACAGACGAACTTTATATTTCTTGATAATCTTGTGGTGTTGAAATATATTTACTATGAATGAAACAGGTTATAATCTATTGAATATTATCGCTAAGAGGTTATCATGATTGTAGTGCTCTGATCGAACACTGGAATGCCATTGTGTTTATCTTAACACGTGTGTAGTTGCCTTTAAATATCGGTCGTAAGAGAGCCGAGATGGAGGTTATGCGAAGCTGTGCGCCATCTGTGGCGGGAACAACTTGTAGTTGGAGGGATTGAGAAGTCAATGTGGCGTTTATAGCTGGTCTTGTTCAAGAGTATGTCCGGGAAGCTTCCGTAGTTGGACTTTATCCGTCCGTCTTCTACATAAGCCGAGAAATCAAGAATGAGTACTAGCTGTAAGGACTTACTTGCAGTGTATCGTGATTTTCCAGTCTCTCTTCGGTGGCTTGTTATGATGTCCCCTTGCAATGTTGCAACTCTTCAGTTCTTCCTTGTCTCCAAGTGAGACCACAAGTGGTCAGGTCCCACGCAATCCAGTCTTGATGAGATCAATTCAACTGTACACTAATTCATAATAGTGGAAAGAACTTATTATTAAAACTCAGCTAGCTAAACGACTCATCTCTCCGGTCCTTCTCCGTAAGAGTAGGTCGTGACTTATCCTTCACTGTAAGAAGTATTTGGAAAGAGTAAGTGAGGGTACATTACGTAGTCCCTTCTTAAAATGATTCACTGATCCCGCTCCACTTGGGATCCCTTCTTCCTTTATTAATTAACCAATCAGTGGTTGATCTTGGGTCGCACAATAGATTATGCACGCCTTCATTTCCACTTCCTTCCGGGCTCAGTTCCGAATTTGCTAATTGGGAAAGTGTCGGAAGGTGGCGAGCCTTTTCCATTGGTCACCTCTCTTTGGTTGCCTCATCCCTCTCTGGGACTTGGCTAGAAGAAGGGTCCGCTTGGGCGTGGTCAATTTTCCAATACGATCGACCAGATGTGGCATAGCCAAGAACAATGCAAGCATTGTCTTAAAGGCCGAGTGCGCACGTATGGTCATTGCATGTTGTTGCACGTACGGGTTTTGGGTTTTAGTAAATGTTTGTACTCAATGCTTTACGCATATCTGATATTCGTTTCGAATCTACTTTGGGGTTCTCCCGGCAGTAAACCCATTAGGTTCTACTGCACTGGGAGTATGAGCACGTTCCGCTAGAGTTTTCCAGATGTTTTATGACACTAGTACAAATAATTATGAGCAGGAAAGTTTTGAAGTCTTAAATACAATTTTCATGACATTACTTGTCAGATATTTTATTGCCTTACTAAACGGAGTCTTATTCTCAAACACCAATGAATTGCAATATATATATATATATATATTCATGAGATGATCAATTATAATTTGTAAAAAAAACTTAATATATATTTTTTCACATTTACATTGTAGAAATGAATATTTAAAAATATTTTAATTATTTTCTAAATATCGAAAGAATATATAAAATGCTATAAAATTAAGATACGATTTTATAAGTAGTACATGAAGTTTCATTAAAATAATTTTAATCTCAATAATACATCATGTTTCTGATGGTCGACTCGATTGATGATTAATTTTGAATTTAATAAATAATAAATCTTGCTGATTTTCCATAAATATAAATATAAAGTCACAAGAGAAAGTAATATAATTTAAAATATAATCATATCAATTGATATAAATTATATTAACTTTAAATTAACAAAAATAATTATAAGGTGATTGAATAGGAAAACTAATTTAATAACTGAACAAGAACAGTTTTAACATTTAATAGCTTAGGCTTTTTATGTAAATGGGAATAAGTGTAGCACATGAAATGATCTCTCAAATATATACAAAGAACAACTATTTAAATATATGATAATACGTTTGCCAATAATTGTACGATATTCTTTTAATAAATACTTGCACTTTGTTCAGAAAATAATTCCACAAATCTGACATGTCAGCCAAAACGTGCAAAAATCAACTTAGAACAAAAACCCCACTAGATGTTTTGTGGGTTTGCTGGGCAAGTAAAGGGTTAATGCATCGATCTAATAATTAACATATATCTTTATTATTGCTGTTTATTTCATTTATTTTCCTTTATATCTGTTTATTGGAGAACTAGAGAATAATCAATTTCTTATTCTCGGCATATAACTGGTGAGATTATTATTTACAGTAAAAAGAAATAGGTTATAATCTATTGAATATTATCACATTTGAGGTTATGGTGATTGTAGCGCTCTGATCGAATACTATAATATTATTGTGTTTTAACTCAACACGTGTGCAGTTGCTTCTAAATATGGGTCGTATAAGAGCCTAAATAGAGGTTATGCGAAGCTGTGTGCCACCTGTGGCGGGAACAACATATCGTTGGAGGGATTGAAAAGCCACTGTGGCCTCTGTAGCTGGTCTTGTCCTAGAGTATGTCTGGAAAGCTTCGGTAGTCGGACCTCAATCCGTCCGTTTTCTACGTAAGCCGAGAGATCAAAAATCAGTACTAACAGTAAGGACTTACTTGCAGTGTATCGTGAAATTTCCAGTCTCTCTTCGTTGGCTTGATGTGAAGTTCCCTTGCAATAATTGCAGCTCTTAAGTTCTTTCCTTATCTCCAAGTGAGATTACACGTGGTCTGGTCCTATACAATCTAGTCTTGATGAGATCAATTCAACTGTATACTAATTCACAATCGTAGAAAGAACTTATTATTAAAACTCAGCTAAACGTCTTGTCTCTCCAGTCCTCTTCCGTGAGAGTAAGTCGTGACTTATCCTTCAATTGTGTGTGATACATTAGAAAAGAATAAGTGGTGGTACATTACATTGTTATATCTTAAATGCTTCACTCGTCCCGCTCCACTAGGGACCCCTTCATCGTTTAATTAATCAATCAGAGGTCGATCTTGGGCAGCACAATAGATAATGCACGCCTTCTTCTCCACTTCCTTCCAAGCTCATTTCCGAATATGCAAATCAGAGAAGTGTCGGAAGTGGGGAGTTTTTGCTATTGGTCACATCTTCTTGATCGTTTCTCCCTTCTCTGGGATATAGCTAGGCGAAGGATCCTCTTGGGCGTGGTCATTTTCAGATGCGACCGACCAGATGTGACTCAGATAAAAACAATGCAAGCATTGTCTTAATGTCTGAATGCGCACGTACGGCTATTGCAGGTTGTCGCACGTGCGGGATTTTTAGGTTGCAGTCAATTTAAGAAAGGTTTTTTACTCGATACTTCATGTATATCTGATATTCGTTCGGAATCTACTTTGGGGTTTTTCCCGGCAATAAACCCATTACGTTCCACTGCGCTGAAAAGCGAAGGCACGTTTCACTGGAGTTTTCCAGATGTTTTATGACACGAGTGCTAAGTGATTATGAGCAGGAAAGATTTGAAATCTTAATGCAAATTTTACGATGTTGCTTGCCAGATGTTTATTGTATTGAAAAAGGGTCTCGCATTCTCAAACACACTTATAACTAATATTTACTCTGGTGCAACTTTAGTGGAAGCACATATAGCTCCTACGATCTGTTAGTTTTTAAAATTATTTTAGAAAATGAATTCTCATTCCAAAGTGTTTTTATACCACAATGAAAAAGGATTTGTATAAATACTTATTAATATTGTTAACGTTAATAAAATAGAAATACCTATTGAATGATAAATAAATCTCTTAATTTGTCCTATTCAAAATGTAAGTTTATACTAATATTTTATCAAAGTGATTACATAAAATCTATACTTTATCCATTCATAGCCTATTTATTTTGGTATCTAATTTATAAATAAGTTGTTATAAAATTGAGATTGAGATTTTAATCTATACACTAATGATTTGTTAAGAATTTTTAGTAAAATTGCACTAACCTTCTTTCTTTCTATATTAATTTTTTATATATATTTCATTATTGTTTATAGTATTGCAAAAAATCGTATAATTAACAGTTTAATTTCGTTACATTACATCTTGTATTACATGTTTATAATTGACTCAAATGTAAAAGAAAATCCGAAGTATTTCGAATAAATAAATATTTTACAAATATGAACTTCAAAACAAGATAAATTGAGAAAGTAAGATATAATGATTAAGTAGGTGATTTAGAAACAGTAATAGTAAAATTCCATTAAAATTATATACTATAGACTTTGTATGATTAGTAATTAATCTGGATGTGTACTATTTAAAAAGAATATAATCAATTAATAATAAATAATATCTGATATACCTATAAATATGAAGGAATGTTCAAATAGTTAAAGCATAATATTTGGATAATATATAATCTTTTTAATAAGTATACCAGTATTAGCATTTTCATTATTAAAAATATTAATCCTCTTTAGAATTCTTTAGAATGATTTATAAGTATTGATTTTAATTTTGCAATAATCTAAAATTGAGCGGCATATTAGCTTATTCCTTACAAAACTTATACTGACCTGAGCTTAATTATCATTATTTAAATATTCCATTATTAGTAAAATAATTTGAAATGCAATCGATTATTTCTAAAATTAATTTTACATTATAAATGTTAACACTTTCGATTTTAGTCCGCAGTTAACTTTTTTATTTTTCATTTTTTAGTACTAATATTGTAAATGGACATTATCTTTTATTCATAAAACAATGTCGCGACGTGCTGTTAGAGAGTAGTTTTTAACCTATTGTTGAATAAGTATAGAACAAAAAATGTATCAAATAAATTAAAAACATGAATCACCAGTAAAATGAATTAAGTACGTTTTAATATTATCACGATATGCTATAAGTACTTCTATATAAATATCAGATTATACCTTTTCATTTGTTTATCGTTCGACGAATTTGATTTATTTTACACGTTCTTTTTTATAAAATGTAAAAAATAGGTTAATGTACTCTGTGTTTGCTTCAAATTGCATTTTAAAAATAAAAATATAGTATTTTCCAAAAATACAAAAGTTTTTTAATAAAATAAATAATTGTATTTATAGTTTTGAAATATTTCTACTTTTTCGAGATCTTACACTTTATACATCAAAAGTGTGTCGCCACTCAAATACTGATATTAATATATAAAACTATATCACATAGTATCTTCGCTTTTTTACAACAAACTATAAATAAATATTTTATAATCTACAAGAGCTGTCTCCTTGATCTATCTGGGATCAGACTAAAAACCTCATATTGATATTGGATGAAGGTGTTGTTGAGGTGGATGGAGCAACGCAATTATTCAATTTTACACGCAGTGTTTCTTGAATTTCCTTTATTAAATACAATAATATAATAAATAGTTAAAGGGCATAAAGTGTATGGATCATGAAGTGAATGGATAATTTGATGAAGTTTCTTCAATTGTGTTACGTACTGAGGAGAGTGTATGAGTCCTTCCCTTCCGAGAAGTGCCGCTATAGTAGTATGCGAGAGCCACTGCTGTCGTACCGAAGCTTTCTAAAGGAGACCGGATTGCTGCTGCCTAGGTGTCCGTGTGATCCGTTAATACATGTAGTAGTATACTTTTGATAATTTCACTCTCGATTATTTTTGCACTAGCGCTTTATGAGTTTGAGTTTAGTTAACAAATTCTGATCGTGTGGCGTCACTATTGGATTGTTCGAGTGCTTATCGTTTGATTATTACGTACGTGTAACGCTACAGTGAGTGATGACTATAGTGTCAAGCTTGAAGATTGAATAGTGAATCCGTCGTGGTAACTGCGTAATTATTACTAGCACTGAGCGCTGCGCGTCAAGCGCAGCCCTTAAATATTCTCGTAGTAGTTTCTACGCCGGTAGCGATCCGGTGTCTGTTACTATGCTGATATTTGTTGCGACATCAATAGGTTTGACGTATTAATTATTATTATTATTCCACTTAAACTTGGAAGGTTCATCGGAAGTACTTTTCGGAATTGTAACCATATATTCGAGTTTTTAACGTAGAAAAATTTCTTGAATTCGCTAACTTGTGTTTATAAACATATTGTCCGGGAGCTCATACCTCTCCCACTTTTATATTCCGCTTTCAACTGCTTCAGTTCGTAACATGATATTATCAATTTTTGTATTATAGGTTAAATATATTCTTTTTTAATCATAACTCAAAAACGATTCGAACGTTTGTATTACAACTTAACGACTGTAATAATGTAAGTTGTTTAGAATTAACTAAGAAACCACTAGATGTTATGTGAAAAAAATGCGTAAGAAAGTAGAAGGGTTAGTGCATTGATTCAATATTTAACACATCTATTTTTATTTCTGTTTATTCCGTCTATTTTCCAAATGCAGGGATGATTATTGTTGATTATAGTTCTAATTATAGTTATTATAGATAAGTTATAAATGAACCTTTGTTGCTCTTTGGCGATTGGAACGTGGTGTTAGTGTGCTCTTTGTTTGGAGGTAGGAGGTTGTAAGGTTCTTGATGCTCGTGACGTATGCCCTTGATGTTAGGTTACCTTGAGAAAGGGGAGAGGTTGTAAAGCTCTCGCCACTTCTTCGAATTGTTCCACGTGGGGAAACTGTGACTGCGTCATGCTCTCAGGTACCAGCGGCTTCTACGAAACGTTAGGTTCGACACGGTATGGAATTGAAGGGACACAGGCTTCTTGCGTCGCACGGGCTAAGACATCCTTGGGCTCGTACTGACTGCTGGAGATACCGTGTGACCTTGAGGAATGATGTTACTTCTCCCGTTGCGATTTTAGTGTGAGTCTTTGACTAAGACTTTCGTCTTAGTCTGAGTCTTAGTCGACTGAGGGGACTAACTTCTTTCTTGGTGACTTCAACATGAGTGAGTGACTGAAAGACTATTGAAAGAGTAACTGAAAATACTGAGCTCTAGAATATTGTGTTTGTCCTTCTTAAATAGGTCACTGAATCTGCTGTCAACGTAATATCCCTTCCCTCTGTTTGGTTCCAATCAGAGCGCGCCGATTTTGACAGCATGATTGAGCATGCAAGCCTCTTTTCCCACATCCTTCGAATTCAGGCTTTGAAAATGCTAATATCGGAAAAGTATCTTGGG